AAAACCAAAAAAACAAAAAAACACAAAACACAAACTATTATCGGAATTGCAGAGTAAAGAATAGTCAATAAAGGCAAGGCATTCCGGAAGTGCAAAGGTAAAGAACAATGTTCTCTTGGTCCTGCTGGGTTTGGAGCAATTTGCCTTAACGAACTTATTTTTGGCTTTTGGAAGGCTTTTTCCGAGCAATTTCGGCTTTATGAATCTCCTAGGCTAACAATCCTTGTACTAAAGGACTGGGTGAGCCCCTTCCCCCAGAGTCCAGTCCTCTCTTCCCGAAAAGTGTGGTCTATAGATAATGAGAAAGCAATTGCAGGTTTCTGATTTTGGACTAATTGCAGCATTGCAAAACCCACTGTCTCTAAAATGGGATACTTGCCCTAACTCACAAGATGACTGATCGCAAGGTTCAAAAAATAAATATAGGACAATGTTTTTAAAATTATAAAATGCTACAAGTATATGACAATATTCTATGACAAATACGTAGCAAGACAAAGTAAGATTCATAATCCCTCTCCTGGGAAATGACTAATCCAAGAAAAATGATCCACCAAAAGTACAAAACAAAACCAAACCACCAAATAAGAAAACCAAAACCCTCTATGCATGAAGATGTTATTGCAGCTCTACCTATAACAGTTAACAACCATCATCATGAGCTTACACTTTCAAGGAATAGTTTAATTACAGCACAGCAACACTGTGATATTTGTACCATAAGCATTAAAAAATTGTGATTATGTGGAAACTTGCTAACATTTAGTGAAAAATTCCTACTTAGCATATACATTATACATGAAACTATACAATGCATATGGCCACAGACTGAAATATACAAAAGGAAAGCATTCAATGAGAGTTAGCATGGTGGAGTTCATGGATGCTCAGTTGGTTGAGTATGTAGTTGCAAACCAATGAATTGTTCTCAACCCTGCCTGAACCTTAGAAGCACCCAACACCAACCAAGCCAAACTCACTGCCATTGAGTTGATTCCAACTCATAGCTGCCCTATTGTTGTTGTTGTTGTTGGGTGCCGACTCATAGTGACCCTAGGTACAACAGAATGAAACACTGCCTGGTCCCACACCATTCTCATGATTGTTGTTATGCTTGAGCCCATTGTTGCAGCCACTGTGTCAATCCATCTTGTCGAGGGTCTTCCTCTTTTTCGCTGACCCTCCACTTCACCAAGCATGATGTCCTTCTCCAGGGACTGGTCTCTCCTGATAACATGTCCAAAATATGTGAGACAAAGTCTCGTCATCCTCGCTTCTAATGACCATTCTGGCTGTTTACTTCTTCCAAGACAGATTTTTTCATTCTTCTGGCATTCCATAGTATATTCAATATTCTTCCCCAACACAACTCAAAGGTGTCAATTTTTCTTCCATCTTCCTTATTCATTGTCCCGCTTTTGCATGCATATGAGGCGACTGAAAACACCGTGGCTTGGGTCAGGCACACCTTAGTCTTCAAGGTGACATCTTTCCTTTTCAACCCTTTAAAGAGGTCTTTTGCAGCAGATTTGCCCAATGCAATGCTTTTGATTTCCTAACTGCTGCTTCCATGGGTGTTGATTATGGATCCAAGTAAAATGAAATCCTTGACAACTTCAATCTTTTCTCTGTTTATCATGATGTTGCTTATTGGTCCAGTTGAGAGGATTTTTGTTTTCTT